CCTATCATTCATTTCTCTCCAAACCCATGGGCTTTTTTTCTTTCCTGCCAAGCATGAATGTTTGTTTTGTTTTGTTTTTAAGATTTTATTTATTTGAGAGAGAGATCACGGACAGGGGGGAGGGGTAGACGGAGAAGCAGGGGAGCCCGATGAGGGGCTCAATCCCAGGACCCCGGGATCATGCCCTGAGCCCAAGGCAGACGCTTAACGACTGAGCCCCCCAGGTGCCCCCAAGGGTACTTTTCAAGAGCACGAGTCTGTCATTCCTTGCCTAGCATGCATCCCTCAAAGACTCCCTTCGTCTTCGGGACCTTTCACGAGAACTGGGTCCCAAGAGCTTGGTCCAGGAGGAATAAGCGTACGTAAAACCTGAAGAAAGCAGGGCCAGGCTCATAGCACCGCCTTCGCGTCCGGCTTATACCCTCCCGGGCTTCGGAACCTTTCTTCCCGGCTCTGGGGGAAACTTTTCCAGAGGTACCTTCCGGCCTCGACGACCCTATTTCCCGTGCTGCACCGCGGCTTTCCTCTTTCTCTTTCTCTTCCGGTCCGAGGTGCTTCGGCAGCCGCGGTCTTCGGTGAGAATTGGCCGCGCGGTATCTGGAACCATCCGCGGCTCCTAGCCGGCGGCCGGACGCAAAACCGGGAAGGACAGAGAGGCCGGCTGCGTGGCTCTGGGGAGCGGAGGGCGCGGGTGGTGCTTGTGGGTTCTCAAGGAGTGGATGGGAGAGGGAGAACTCGGATTTGGGGTAGAGCGCAGTCTGGTGAGGGAGGGTTGGTTCCAGGGTCCTCTTATCGGGAGGCCGGGACCGGCGTGGGGTCGTGCTGAGTAAGTGGAGGCCGATGGAGGCCGCAGATGCGGGGCCCCTGTGCTGCAGCTTCATTCTGGCTTCTGGCCTCACGTCCTTCCAGATCAGGGCGGCAGTGAGAGGCCCAGCCAGCCTGGCGAGCCCCCAGCCCTGATCTCCACTCTCGTCCCCCAGGTGCAGACATGGCCAAGTCCAAGAACCACACCACGCACAACCAGTGTAAGTTCCCCCGGCCCCGCCTCCGTCTCGCTTCAGACCCTGACGAGGACTGGGGACACTCTGGGCCTGGGGCTGGCTTTGTTTTCGGCCAGGATGACCTCTGGGTTATAGTTTAAGAAGCCAGGGGTCCTCTTGAGATGCCCACGGTGCTTTGCATTCAGGGATACGGGCTCTTCCCTCTCTCTCGAAGACCTGCTCTGGGAAGTAATGGTTTTCCCAGGCTGGCCAGCCGTGATGTGTGGTCTTACTAGAGCAAGTCTCGTTTGGTCTAATACCTTTGCTTCCCTGCAGCACGAAAATGGCACAGAAATGGCATCAAGAAACCCCGGTCACAAAGATACGAATCTCTTAAGGGGGTGAGTGAGAAGGGTGTCCGTTTGGCCCCCGTTGCACAGCTAGAGCGTCTCCTGTATCTCTCTCCGGCTTCAGCATCTGCCTGAGCAGCGACTCCCGCGTCTTGGCCTGGACCACCAAAGCCCACAGTTTTTCTCTCCAGCCAGCTTTTGCCTGGACTTCACGTTCTGCCAAAGCCATAATAAACCTTTGCTTGGCTTTTCCCAGCCCTGATTGTAACTCCCTAGTCAGGTGTAACCTGCCTCCGGAGGGTAGTTTGACTGTCCCCCTTGCTTATCCAGAACACTTAAGGAGAGAAGTGGCCTTACCTTTGTGTACCGGGTACCCTGTGAGAGCCTTGCATTCCACCAGCCTGTGGCCTTGATCTGACCTCATGCAGGGCTTGGGGGCAGCTTTCCTTGCTGTGCCAAGGAGTTCTCAGCTGAGAAGGCTGAGGCTGGAGGGTCTAAGCAAGAGAATGGGGTCCTGTCTGTCCACTGTGCCCTTGGTCTCTGGTCTGTGGAATGAACCATTAAATCTCTGAACCTCGGTTTCCCCATCTTGGTCTCTTTTTCAACCTCATTTGCTGTGTATCTGTTGGACCAGGCTTGGTGCTTAACTGACACCTTCCTTTAAAGAGGTGGGGATGGCCCTGAGGGGTTTCAGGAAAACCTCAGCCCTGCAAGCCTGGCTGATGGGGCAGCCTTCATTTGTTCTTTCCTTCTGTGCTTGGCCTTTGAGCTCAGTTGGGCTCTGGGCATGTAGCCCTGAAAATATGGTCTGTATGTACTATTAGCAGGGTGGAGTGGTGGCTTTGGGGGTTGTAGCACATGTTTCTCTGCAGGTAGTTTGTAAGGGGTGTGTATTTCAGCATTTAAGTTTGACTTGATGCTGTCTATGCCCCCAATAGTCTCCTGGTACAGCTATGGAGAGGGCCACCAGCGGTGGCTTGGGGCCCCACATGCTGCACTTACAGCCTGTACCTTTCCTTGCCTTCCAGGTAGACCCCAAGTTCTTGAGGAACATGCGCTTTGCCAAGAAGCACAACAAGAAGGGCCTGAAGAAGATGCAGGCCAACAACGCCAAGGCCATGAGTGCACGTGCAGAGGCTATCAAGGCCCTCGTCAAGCCCAAGGAGGTCAAGCCCAAGATCCCAAAGGGCGGCAGCCGCAAGCTCAATCGACTTGCCTACATCGCTCACCCCAAGCTCGGGAAACGTGCTCGTGCCCGCATTGCCAAGGGTCTCAGGCTCTGCCGGCCAAAGTCCAAGGCCAAGGCTCAAACCAAGGCCCAGGCTGCGGCTCCGGCTCCGGCTCCAGCTCCTGCTGCAGCTCAGGCTCCCAAAGGTGCCCAGGCCCCCACAAAGGCTCCAGTGTAGAGGCTTGTGTCTGTGAGTGTGAGGACAGGACTGGTGTGACCCCAGGGCTTCTATCTGCACGGGGCTGGTGTCCTCCTTTGCTCTTTGTACAAATAAACCTGCGGCAGGCTCTGTCAGTTGGCCTGTGTCTGTGGTCCACAGACTGGGGTATAGGTGGGAGTCGGGGGAAATGGGGCCCTGGAGTACAAGAAAGGGACCTAGTGAAAGACATGGTGGAGAGCCTTAGGGAGGCTGGGGCACATAGCCTGCTGGATTGGTCAGTCTGGTGAGGAAGGAGAATTCCCAAATATCCTGATAAGTCTTGAAGTTTACCCCGGGGATAAAGAGAAGGACCCTGCTGAGTTCTGCACTCCGGCCTGAGGCGGTCCAGTGTATACAGCCAGCATCCACCACTCTGGGTTGTGTTGGGGGCCCCGGGATGCAGGGCGGTGGTGGCACTGCCTTAATACAGCCGGGCCGGACCTGACTGTGCCTCCTGGATCAGCTGCTTCCTCTGCAAAGTTAGAGCAGCTAGTGAGGCAAGTGGTATAGTGGTCATAGGCATTGTGGAGGCTTTCTGTAGAAGCTGCCACGCATGTCACCGTTCCTGGTCATGCAGTCTTCGAAACTAGTCTTTGAGTATGGTTGTCGGGTAATTTGTGGACCAACCTTGGCACTTGGGAGGTTCCAAAAGGGTTGCACTTCCTAGAGCACCTGGGTGGCTCAGTTGGTTAAGCATCCAGACTCTTGGTTTTGACTCTTGATTTCAGGCTCAGGTCATGATCTCAGGGTTGTGGGATCAAGCCCTGAGTTGATCTCCGTGCTCAGGAGGGAGTTTGCTTCTCTCTCTCCCTCTGCCCCTCACCACCCCCTGCACGTGGCACGCACGCGCACACACACTTGCACTCAAATCTTAAAGAGTCAACAGGTACATCCCATGATAAATGGTTCCTCTTCCTCTGAAGTAGGTATTATTCTCTTTGTTTCACAGGGAAGGAAATTTGTTTGAGATCATGGAGCTCTGGGATGTAAGTAGCATTGGGACCCAGGCAGCCCATGCAGGACCCCAGAAAGTTTGCCCAACCAGGGCTGGGCTGCTAGCTCATGACTCATCTTGGCATGCTCTGGGGGGCCAACTGCCCATTACCAGGGGGTGTCAGATAGGTGGGGTCTTGAAAGGGACCAGGAACAGGTTTTATGTCCTGAAGGTACTTTGGCCCAGCCTGAGGTCATCAGGTCAGGTGGCTTCCAGTGAGGCCTGTGTTCTAGGCCAGGACACGGTGTGAAGACTCCTTTCCCATCATCCTGCTGCAATCTGAAGGGGGAGGCCAGACCCCAGGTCAGGGGCTTCAAATAGGCTTACTTAAGGTCACAACCAGGTTGCTGTCAGCCTCCAGCTCCCACCCAGAGCCTCCCTTGTGTCCCTAGTTTTTGAGTCTCAAATCTTGACTCCCATTACCTACAAGCTATGTGGTTTTGGGCAAGCTATTCTAGCAGAGCTGCTAAAGGGGCTCAGTGAAACCTGCAGCCAGGGGCTGCTGGGAGGGCTCAAAGCAGATAAGAGCTGGCCAAAGTCCTGGCTCCTTGGCAGAATTGCACGAGCAGGGGTTAGTACTATCAGGACTAAGCCTGCAGGCCACAGAACCAGGCTGTGGACTTCCCTCTGGCCACAAGAACTTCAAAACCCAGCCCTCCCTGTCTCTCACCCCATGCCTGTGGAGGTCCAAACAGGACTAGATCAGATCAGCTAGAGGAGCAAGCTCAGCAATCAGGCCATAGTGACCCTTGGTCCTGCATGGAGCCCCCTACCTAGCAGGGCTGACAGACTGAAGCCTCACTCAGCACACACTGATCCCTGCCCAGGATGTAGGGACCCTAAGATGAACATGCTAGCAGCCATGGCTTGCAAGCTCTCTCCTACCTGCCCCACATCTGGCAGGGCCCAGCTGGCCTCCAGCTCTAGTGCTGTCTCAGGATCCTGAGTGTGTTCCCAGAAAGCCAGAAGTGTTTCCCTGAGATCTTTCCTTTGGTTTCCTCTTCAGAGTGGTGTCCCCGACCTTATAAGTCAGATAAAGGCTTAGTGGCCACTGAGAAGAGGAACTATGGTCCCTTGGCGCTGGGCACAGACATGGCTGGGTGGTACTGGACGAGTGCTGTGTCGAGGGACACAGAGCAGCATGGGGTAGTGGGGAGGCACCCAGAGCCAGGCTCAGTTTTCTCCTCTGTGAAACGGGGATGGGAATTGCATGTCCCCAGAGAAAGGACAGAATCCCTGCTCCATGAACGTCCTTGCTCTTAGTACTTCAGAACTGGCCTCTGTCCACACGCAGACTTTATTGTTGGGCAGGGGGGCAGAGGGGTCCTTGACACTGGGCCGGTGGACGCTCCTGGGACTCAGCCGTCACTGGGCAGGGCAGGCACACTGGCCAGGGCAGGCAGCAGCCGCGTGTATATGTCAATCCCACGGAGGAACACGGCCTCATGCAACCGCTCATCGTGGTCATGCAGCAGCACAGGTGTGCGGTTCATGGGTGAGAAGCCCAGCGCGGGGACCCCCACCTGCAGGGGACAAGGAGAAGCCATCAGGAGGAAAGCCAGCAACCAGGACCGCCCACCCCCTGCCCACCCACTGCAAGCAGCTCACCACACGGAGGTAGCGGCTATCCGTGGCAGCAGGGAAGATCTCTGGCTCCAGCGTGAGGTTCCTGCGGAGGCAAGAGCCTGGTGAATGAGGAGGCAGGGAGGGGAGAGCGCAAGGGGAGCATGGAAAGAGTGAAGGAAGATGGAAGGGAGGCAGGAGGAGAGAGGAAAGGGCAAGAGAAGGCAGGCCAGGGTGCTCACATGTTCTTGCAGACCCCGCTAAATGCTGCCCACCAGGGGTCTGAGTCATCAATCGATGTCATTCGGGACTCCGTCCACTTCTGGAAGGCGGGGAAGGGTAGCAGGATCACAGCAGGGCCTGCGCAGCTCGCGCCATTCTGCACAGGCCTGTCTCACACCCACTCCCCCCGCCCGCCACCCCGGCTTCCACCCACCTACCCAGATAGCCAGCTGGCCAGTCCAGCCACAGGCCCTCTTTCAGTCCCTTACAGGCCACAGGTCTGGGACTTGGCCCTGCCCTTCATCTACTTACTGCCTGTCCAGCTTTCGCATCCTAGGCCTCTTCCTCAAAATGGCTCTCCCAGACCTCTCAGACTGGCCAACTACTTGTTACAGGTTCTCAGAGTGCAAGGTCCCACCTTCTCCTGAACCAAGTGTGTTCATACTTATATAAAAGTAATATTATATTAATGTTTAATTCAGGTCTATTTGTCTCTTCATGCCGTAAGGACTGTGAGGCCATGAAGTGTGTCTCACTTTACTCCCACGGTATCCCCAGCACCCAACAGTGGCCTCCACAACGAATGCCTGTTGGTGAACAAAATGTGTCCCTCGTAGCTAAAGAAACGCCCAGACGTATGCAGGTACACTGAGCACCCACTGCCACGGTGGCACACACCCAGCAAGCCCAGTCTCCCCTGCTCCCACAGCTCCCAACCGTAGGTCCCGGCTGATACCTGAGCAAACTCAAAGGTGACCCCCTCACCAGCTGCCCGGCACCAGCCCTGCAGCTGCTCCTCGAAAGCCTGTGAGAAGGGAGATGAGCTGACCTCTCCGGCTCTCCCTGAGCCTCCAGCCTAGGACCGAGAAGCCGGCTCCCTGCCCCAAACCCAGGTGGAGCTGGCACCTTCAGGTCCACATCCGGTGCCACACGGAAGTCAAAGCTGGCACTCATAGTAGCAGGTACCACGTTATAAGCCACGCCGCCCTCTAACTTGGTCAGGTTCACGGAGGTCACAGCCCCTGCCTTCAGGTGGGGGTTTGACTGCAGCCTGTGGTGGGGGGACAGGGCAGGGGCAGCAGGGGGAGCAACAGATAAAGAGCCTCCCTTCTCTCTTGCAGGGCCGGCCGCCCAGACCCCCATCCTCTTTCCCAGGCTGCCTCACCTCTGCCTCTCCTTCTCCCGGAAAGCCAGGATTGAGCTCACGACCTTGTGCTAGGAGAGTGCGAGGTCGGATGTGAGAGTGGCCCCAGGATAGAGCCTCAGGAAGTCCCAAACTCCCTCCCTGTGTGCCACGCACCAGCTTCTCCGCTGCTGTGTCCTCGATGAAGCATGAGCTGTGGCCTGGCTTCCCGGTGCTCGAGACCCGCACCCCTGGGAGATGAGGGAGAAGGGGGTGTCTTCAGCATGGAAGGGGCTGGAAAAGTGATCAGCCTGGGGGTGGGCCCCGGTCTTTGCCTCATCCCAAGCTCCTCCAGCAGAGTGGTCTACCTTAGAACGCACGGTGGAGAGCTGGTTTCTGCCCATGGGGGGCTACCCTCAGAAGCTCAGGAAGGAGAAGCCCAGGTAGGAAGGGGCTGGGAGGCAGAGGCTCTGGGTTCAAGGCCTACTCGGGCCCCGACCTGCTGCATGACTCTTGGTAGGCTGCCCCTTCTGGCTTAGCACCCCACCACACAGTGACACCCTCCCTCCAAGCCCATACTCACACCAGGGGCTCCGCTCACTGTAAAAGACAGTGAAGGCATCAGTGGGGTTGGCCAGGCCTGGGGAGGGAAAAGGGATTCAGAGGCTAGAGTGGCCCAGCCACTAGCAGCCTCCGTATCCCCTACTGGCCGCTCAGGGGCCTGCCACCCTGCTCACCTTCATCCAGGGCGAAGCCAGCCCTCAGGGCCTGGAACTCGGGCCGCTGCACAAACAGCTCCATGCCTTGGTGACCTCCAACCTCCTCATCTGTAAAAGCAGCAGGGACATGAGATGAAGGAGCTGCCCTGCCACCATATCTTCCTGCTCCCTGAAAGTGTCCCTCCCCAAGCCACTCCTACCTGGCACAAAGGTCATGTGGATGGTTCTGGGGAAATGGTGGCCCTCAGCCTTCAGCCTCCTCACAGCCTCCAGGTACCTGAGGGGCAATGACAGGGTGTAAGCCAGGGCTCGGGGAGCCACCAGATGCTTGGGCGGGCAGGCTGGAGCCCTGGGCCCCTGCAGCCTGTTCTGCCACAGCCTGGCAGGGGACTCTGGGAAGTTTCTGTCCTTCACTCTATCCATGTAATGGTGCTAATTCCTGTCCGAGATAAGGGAGTCAAGATGTTCCTTGGCCTTGAGGTTCTCCAATCACACCCACCCCAGGCCCTGGGTCAATTCAGTGGGCCAGTAGGGACACTGTGGGGGACAGGAAATGGAGGACACTCACTGGATGCTGACACACTTCATGTCCTGGGCACCCCTGGCATAGATGTAGCCCTCAGCATCCTTGAAGGCCTCAAAGGGGTCATGACTCCAGTGTTCCTGGGGCAGAGATGAGAAGAGGGACCCAAGCCCCAAATTTAGTCATTAATCTACTCTGCTTAACTGTGGCCCTGCTCTAGAAGCCTACCCTAGGGTTGGGGTGACAAGTGGGGTGGTGAAGAGGGCTGAAGAGGGCAGCTGACTGCAATCCCTCATCTCTGCTCCCACCTCCACCCCCACCCTGGGCACAGAATGGACCACCGGGCAAAGGCTGCTTAAACGGAGTCGTGTCCTAAGAGATCGGGAGTCAGTTTCAGGACAAGCCCCCGAGGCTCCCTGGGGTCCCATGGGGGGTCTGCATCATCTTTGTGTACCCCAAGGCCTGCACCGCTCCCCGCGCCCCACACACCTTGAAGACAGGCACCACATCAGTGTGGGAGTTGAGTAAGATGGAGGAGAGTCTGGGGTTGGTGCCTGGCCACGTCAGAATGGTCACCACATGGCCAGGTGCCACCTGGAGAGGACCAGGAGGTGAGGAGGTGCCCCAGGGCCACCTCCCCTCCCCATGCCAGGCCCCAGGCTCACCTCCACTTTCTGACAGCCAAGGCCCAGCTGGCGGGCTCTCTCTTCAAGGAAGGCCACGGCAGCGCCTGGGGACACGGAGAGTCTTGGGGCTGCTTCTGCCTACCCACCTGTCCCACTGGCCCAGGCAGAGCTGGGGGTACATCCAGAGAGGGAAGCCAACCCTGAAAGGGGCTGCTGCCTCCTCGGTGCAATTCCACATTGTTCGAGGACCCCTGCATTTCTGTCTCCAAGGAAGAATGTATCTTTGGCCAGTCAGTGACCCTTTGTGGAAGGTCAGGTGGGAAGTCCATAGTTAGAAACAGGAGTGATGGCTCTCTTCCTTAGGGATGGGAAAACTGGTGCAGCGGCATGAGATTCACCTGATGTCTCCCAGCTGGTAAATCAGGGCAGGGGTTTGCACCCATGTCCACCATTCCCAGCCACCAAGTTTGAGTCCCTAAGGGCTGTGGTCTTTGTCCTGCCCCAGTAGGCTTCTGGAGCTTCTTCCTTGAGGCTGTCTGGTCTCCCCTCCCCCTCCTCAAACCCCGGGCAGTGAGGTGAAGTTGTTCCTTAACCAGCCACCAGAAGTAACTCTGGGTGCAACACAGCCTGGAGGGGCTGCTGAGCAGTCGGCTGGCCTGGGGAATGGCTAGAGGCGTGGAGGTGCCAGTTGGGGCAGCAGAGTGGGGCTCAGCTAGGTGACAGTGGTTGGAGTCTGGTGTAGAGCAGTCCCCGCCCCGGGACCCCACCGCAGGCCCTGGAACGGCCGCGTTCTCACCGTAGTCGGGCTTGGGCTGGACGGTGCGGATGCGCAGGTACTGGCGGAAGAGTGTCACGGACGGGTGCTCGCCCTCGCGACCCTCGCTGGCCATGGCGCTGCGCGTGGTGCTCTAAGGGCAAAGCGAGTGGCTACCTACCCCTCCCAGCCGCTGAGGCCCAGTGGTCTCCACCTACCCACGGCCCTTCCCCAGGGCGGTTCCCCGTACGTCCCACAGGGAGAAGACACCCCGTTTCGGAGCCCCCATTCTGTTTCAGGAGCTGTGCTGGCCGCTTTCAACACATTTCCGTATTGAATCGGCCAAAAAGCCCCAGGAAGTTCGTGCCTCTGTATGCCTACTTTCCAGAGGAGAAAGCTGAGGCTGAGAGGTTCAGCGACAGCTAGAGAGTAGGGGAGCCCGGTCTGAACCCTGACATTGACTCTCCCTACCCTCCTCAAAAAAATTCTCCCAACTGCCCGGATTTTATGCCATGTAACCCCAGATCCCTTTACCCTCTCCGGGGTCCCACCTCGCTCTCCGCTGGTCTTGCGCGGAGCCCGCGCTTGCCTCTCAGCGCCCGCCCCGGACTATGGCCAGGGCTCAGGGGTCCTGCGAGGTCGAGGGCTCAGGACCGCCCCGGTCCGCCCACCACGTGGCCGGACCGGATCGCGGGGCGGGGCCGAAGACTGCGAGTTAGGGCCACCCATCGTCTCTGCGGCGGCGACGGCGAGGGCGTCTCCGCCCGCCCCAGGTTCCAGCCTCCTCTCGGGTTACGGGATCGCTCTCCCGCGCAGCCACCGCCGCCGCCTGCTCTGCCCCGGCGGCGGGCCCCGCCCCCGCAGCCCGGGTCCCGCTCCGCAGCCCCCGCTCCCTCAGGCCCTGCCCAGCAGGCCTGGGCTGCGAGCTCCGGGTGGTCCCGCCCCGGAGGGCTCTACCTCCTGCAACCTCCAGATTGGGCGGGAAGAGAGGAGAGCAGACCCTTGACACGAGAGGCTGCGTCTGCCCCCTCGGGCGCCCTTCACTCTTGGGGTACAGCGCTGCAAAGTCCTGCCAGAGCTGGCCCCTGCCTGCTCCCCCACCCGCTCCCGCGAGTCTCTGACTTCTCCGCTTTCCGTGTCTCAGCTCCTCAGGGAGGTCCTCCCTGACCGCCTCAGACCCCCGTGTGGAGAGGTTATTGGTCAATATCTGTCCCCTCAGACTGCAAGTTCTAGGAGGCTGGCTGGTCCATGTACCCACAGGATACTGTCGCTGGCGGGGCACAGAGCGGTGTCAGAGCAGACGCCTGGACACGTGCCAGGAGCAGAGGATAAACGGGCAGAGGGGCACATGGCGACTTCGTGTGAGATCGTGCAAATGTGCCGCTGTGGGAGCTAATCCAACAGTGTGTCTCAGAGTGTATGACCGCGCGTGTGACAAGTGTGAGATGGTGGCCGGGTGTGGCAGCGTCTGCATGACAGAGGCTGTCACGGTGAAGGTCACCATGAGGCTGTATGACCGTGTCAGGGGGGAGATGGCACAAAAGCACACATGTGGCATACTCTTGGCTGACCCTGTGCCAGGCTCCCTGGCTCTCCCGCGGCCACCGGGGGGGGGGGATAAAGAGGCACAGGTGTCCCACTGGCCACCCCCAGGCTGCACCCGGTTGTAGCTGCCCACTTGTGTGCCTGGTTGCCCTTTGTACTCTCGGCCAGTTCTGCCCCCTGCTACAGGGGCTGAGTTGGCGTGGGGAGAGGCAGAGCCGAAAACTTCAACCTCTGTGCCCCGAGGAGGCAGGCTGGGAGGGGAGGGTAAGGGTAAGGGGGGGTTCGTCCAACCCTCCTGGGGTTTAAGTCTGATCTGCTTGCTGACCCGCACATACCAGGGGCAAGCAGGCTTGGCAGTTCACCACCAATGCTATGTTAATTGCTAAATCACATTCCCCACTTCCGTCCCTGCACATCCTGCTCCCTTCGGCCATAGGTCCTGCATTCCTGACTCACTGGCTCAACTGCCAGACCCTGGATTTCCCACCAACCCCAGTGGTCACACAGCAGTAGTAACACCCGCTTGCCCTGACCCCCCTCAAGCCCTGTGAGGCCAAGTGCTCCATTTACCCAGACTGAGTCAATTCTAAAACCACATTTTGAGCCAGGTATTACCATCATGCACATTTTACAGGTGAGGAAACTGAGTCACAGAGTGGTGAGGGCAGCCAGCTAGGAAGTAGACCATCCCAGGCTGCTGAAGCCTCCCTCCAGCTCCCAGCCCCAAAGCACCCGGACCTGCCTCTCGCTCCCACCCCACCTGCTGCAACGCCAGGAAACAGGACCTGCCACTCCCCGGGCATGACAAAAAATGTGTTTTTTTTATTGTGCCTGTGAGATGAAATGAGAGGTCCCGACTGGGCCTGGCCCTCTGGCCTCCACCCTCCAATCCCAGGGGCTGCCTCCCTGGTAGGGCACTGGTCCAGACTCTCCAAGCTCAGGCCAGGCCCGGGGCCTGGTCAGTGGGTGAACTCAAGGCAGGTGGTCAAGGAAGGCAAGGAGGACAAGGTGGAAGTCTTGCGGCTTGTGGAGGTAGCAGGCGTGGCCTGCATCACGCAGCTTCACCACAGAGTGGTTGGGCAGGTGGCGGAGCTGCCGCAGTGACTCCCGAGCCAGGATACGGTCCAGCTCCCCATACAGGATGAGAGTCGGGGTCTGCAGGGCAAGGCAAGGGGCTGTGACCCTGGGGTCTGACGGGGACTGACCCTCTAGCTACCTCCTTAGGACATCTTTCCCAAACACCCCATCTCTTTCTATCCAGATGAGGCCATGTGTCCTCCAAGTGAGACCTAAGTCCTTTCCCCCCATGACTCAAGCCAGGGATAGGAAGCCGGACCTTTGGAAACCGTCCTTCCAGTACCTTCACGGCCCAGAATTGTTCCTGGGTGTAGTTCTGGGTGGAGGCGGGTGCAATGGGCACAAATCCACGCAGGTGGTGGTGGCCTCGGATCAAGAAGGGCAGGGCGTAGCGGCCACTCAGAGAGGGGCTCACCAATACGGCATTGTGCACCTCCAGGTCTCGCAGCACTCGCTCCAGCAGCTCCGCCCGCCCTGCCTCTGTGCTTGCCTCCTTGGAAGGTGCCGAGTTCCCAAAACCTGGGAACAGCAGGAGGCACCAGCTGAGGGAGGCTGGAAAGGAACCCAGGACATCCTGCCCACCACAGTGGGGGAAATAGCAGAGGCACATGGCAGTGCTACCCCCAAACTTCCCAGAAGCTCTTTTTTGTAATGGGATAGGTCTGCTAGAAAAGCATCTTTCATTCATTAGAGTGGCGAAACTAAAAAGATTGACAATATGCAGTGTTGGGGAAGATGTGGGGAAATGGGCACTTTCATCCATGACTGATGGGAGTATAAATCCATGTAGGATTTTTGGAGGGTAAGGCAATATTTGTCAACACTTAAAAAATGTGCATCCTTTGACCCATCAATTATCCTTGGTAGCTACCCTACAGAAATTATTGCCTCCACGCTCAAAGAAACATGTCCAAAGTTGCTTCAGCTTCATACCTCAAGCATTTCCACAGATGCTGAAAACTCAACTTACATATCCATCAGTGGAGGAATGGGCAGATCAAACCTGTCCATCCTTCTGATGGCACACAGTGCAGAGAGGGAGATTCATACTGACTGGCCCGCTCTATGAGATGTGGTGTAGGGGGAGAAAAACCAAGCTGCAGAGAGATCTGCTAAGCAGACGGGACACCAGTCATGTTTCTAACCTCACCACACAATCCTGCGTATTGTCTGTCTTTCTATATATGGAAATGCCCCGAGGGGGTTGGGCACCCCCAAACTGCTGGGAGAGAAATGCGGCATGGGTCTCTGAGGGCGTCATTCTTGCTTGATTTTTAAAGACAAGAATGATAGCATAAATCATTTGCATAGCTACAAAACTGAAAAGCTACCTAGTTTGTCATAAAATGTCCAATGAGATCTCTCTGTGCAAGCACTTGTGGAGTGAGTCACGTTTCTATTTGCTATGTGACATGCAACAGTCCACATTCTAGTTTTCAAGGCAGAGAATAAAGACACAGACCTTTTAGTATTGCCATCTTGTGTTGCGACCTACCACGGCTTGTCCAGACATTGTGGTCCAAATCCGCCCCCCCAACCCAGCCATACCTTAAAGCTTTTCTCCCCTCCACGTCCTCCCCTGGGAAGCTGCCCCTTGTACCTGCTGAATGTTGCTTCCCTAGACCCTGGAGTGGGGGCTCTCACCTGGGAGGTCAAGGGCCACGGCCCGGTAGCCCCTCTGCGCCAGCAGCTGCAGTGTGCCCAGCTGCTCCCACGTGTGGGAGTTAAAGGCCTTTCCGTGGAGTAGCACCACCTCCACCCTGTGGACACACAGGGGAGTGTGTGTCCTCGGGGTCTGAAAGTGGCCCGCCATTCTTTCTTTCCAGGCTTCTCCCACTGCCCTCCCAGGCCCTGAGCACCCTGAGTTGAGCTGGGGTCCCACACAGGGACTCCCCTTGGACCTAGGCCTTCCACTGCACCCTGAGGTCAGCACCCACCTGCGTGCCCGGTGGAGCGGCAGCACCTCGCGGTAAAAGATGGGGGAGTTGCCAGGGGTGAGACCAGCCAGGACTGTGACATTGGGGCCTCCCCAGAGCCAGGAGGTCTGCTCAGGGGGGCCTGGCAGCCCCACGTACAGTAGCAGCATGAGCAGCAGGCCCAGGCCCAGCAGGGCTACCTGGGACCGGCTCATGGAGGTCTGCACCACAGTCTGGAGGAGAGGAGAGGAAGAAGAGCCTGGGGCTGTGTCCCCACCAGGTCCCCTGGACCCCATCCCCAACCCCCCCCCCAGAAGCCCCCAGCAGAGGAACAACTCAGCCCTTGCCCTTTCTCCTGCTCTGAGCAGGGTTCATATCCAACTGCTCCACACATGCTGGGGCAGGGGCTCAGATACCCTGCAGCCTGAGAAGGAGCATCTGAGATGTCCCTGGAGACACAGCATGCTCAATGACCACCATCATCATTGTGCCAGCTAAAACCGCTTCCATTCATCAGGTGCTTATGAGAGCCAGATCCTGTGTCTGGCCCTTCACATACGAGGGCTCACAAATCCACACAGGAACACTGGGGAGCAGATATGATTAGA